TCTTCAAAAAACAAAATAGAAAACTAAAGACTGAACAACACGAGCCCCGCCAAAAACTGTCGGAGATCTCAAGTGCCCCGGAAGGATCAACAGATCATGCTTCACAGGTGGACAGCCTTTACGTCTACATGCTGCCAATCTTTGGCCCTTTCGACACTGGTAGTATAGCAAATAAATTTTATTGCTCCGTCCACTGATTTCCTCTCCATTTAAGATACCTCATAGCTATCTTACTTGATATTGGCTTAATAGTTAAAGATTGCAATCATGCTTCTGCTTAAAAGTTATAGATTGCAATCATGCTTCTGCTTAATAGTTAAAGATTGCAACCATGCTTCTCTGCCTAGGTTGTCATTTGTATGCGTAGATCTTATCCATTGTTTTTGTGGTTTTTGTTATGTCTGTTTTTTTTAATTCATATCCATCAACAACTAGCGTCAGTCTTTGTTGTATGTCATCTTAGCTAACTAGTAACACTGTAGTTAAATATACGATTTTTAAATAAAAATCAGGACGTCTCCTACCGTACCTCTTTCATGCAGGACCCGTCAGTGTAAAAATACTATATTTTGAATGACTGTATTGTGATATGAACAGTCGGAAATGATGATATTTCCAATTTATTCACGGTGACTTGCATGTGTAACCGTAATATAACTGGACTTCGTGTTAATAACTATCACCCTTATTCCAGAAACAATAGGATATGTGTTCCCGATTGCTATTTAAAACAATTGGTTCAGCTTTCGTGTACATCGCATTTCCGATTGCCATTGCAATACAATATATATTGTAATCGTGTACAGTAGATTTTGATCGCCATTACTATACTTCTGTTATTACCTATAAGTCCATAACTAGACTTCTGTTATTACCTATATGTCCATTACCAGACTTCTGTTATTACCTATAAGTCCATAACTAGACTTCTGTTATTACCTATATGTCCATTACTAGACTTCTGTTATTACATATATGTCCATTACTAGACTTCTGTTATGACCTATATGTCCATTACTAGACTTCTGTTATTACCTATAAGTCCATTACTAGACTTCTGTTATTACCTATATGTCCATTACTAGACTTCTGTTATTACATATATGTTCGTTTGCCGTACCGATAGCCAGTTATTTAAGGAGTATTTCCTAAGTATCGATATGATTTTAGTAACACTCGAACGTACCTCGAGTTGAAATGGAATCTGTAACAAGGTTTACTTGGTCAATATTATAACAGTTAAACAATATTTTGATTGATTGATTGATGTTTGCTTTACGCCGCATCAGCGCAAACGGGCTCATGATAACGAGAGACGAAACAATATTTTGATGTTCACATACTGCATACTGTATAAACACTGGAAACTTTGCTATAAACCATGCCATAATAAATGTTGGAACAATTATTATATATCCTTTATTACGTTATTTGTTTCAATGAAAATAATATTCCAGAATATTTCTTCCATTTGGAACTAATATCATGAATGTTTGCGATAACGGACAAAGGGAGTTAAATCTAACTATCTTATTTTAAAACTGATCTGTATTATCTCCCGTTGATTAACTTTTGACGATGATTATGTGTGAGTTTTTTCTTGTGTTCTGTACCACAAAGATCAGCAAACTGAGTTTGGAAGGCCAATTACAGAGCATATTTAAAAGCATTTAACCAAATAAGGAGCATAATCAAACCAAACAAGGGTTGGATGTGTACTGATTGATACATTAGTCTTGGATACATTATTTTTTTTATTAGTTGTTATTGGCTTTGAACTAGCTAGCTGTCAGTAACTGCGAGTACTCTCAGATATGTACTTTGTGTCTTTTTTGTTGTTAGGGATGTGTTTTTTGATAGATGTTTTTCTGCTTTGTATCGATCTGATGAGTTAAGCCATTTTCAACTGATTTTTATAGCTTGTTCTTATGTTGTGCTGTAACACCACTGTCCCAGGTTAGAGGGAGGGTTGAGCGCTCACCGTTGAAACATGTTTAACACCGCCATATTCTTTATGTGCCTATCCCAAGTCACGAGCCTGTAGTTCAGTGGTTGTCTTTGGTTCATGTCTGTCATATTTGTTTTTCGTAAATTGTTTTGTTAGTTTTCTCAATTGAATTGTTTCATATTTTTCATGTCGGGGCCTTTTATAGCCGACTATACGATATGGGTTTTTCTCATTGTTGACGGCCGTACGGTTGCCTATAATTGTTTACATCCACTTCATTTGAATTTGGGTGGATAGTTGTCTCATTGACAATCATACCACATCTCCTTATTCGCAAATCGTTACCCGACAAGCAGCCAAAATAGTCTAAGTAGTTACATAGTTAAGTAAGCTGAACCTGTATCATATATATGTACAATTTCTATCCCACTTACGACACTGAAACAATTCTCAGTCTATTTCATTTGATGAGAACAACACCATAAGGGAAGGTATTACATTACCTTCTATATCCAAATACCCGGCGTCAATTTATTTTTTACACGTTTAACCTGAATAAAGGTACATGACCTCGCTTTTAGATTACTAGTTCAAATAGACAAACAAGCTACATGTTCCTATTACATTGTAACACTATAAACAACCCCTATCACGGTCAGTCTAACAGTTTTTGTTTTGTCCATCAAAAGTTGTCTGAGAAAACGTCCTTGTCTCCGCATTGCCTTGTTTTTTTGTTTTTGTTTTGTTCAGTTGTTTGTGTGTTTTTGTTGTTTATTGCGCTGGTGTATATATTATTTCTCTCATCAAGGCAGGTTGGTTGTGTCTCTGTGTAGTTTTTTGTTGTTGCTGGCGCTGGGGCATATGTTGTTTCTCTCATCATGTCATGAAGGTAGGGTTTGTTGTGTCTCAGTGGGGTCTTTTATTGTTTTTTGTTTTTGTTTTTGTTTTTGTTTTTTTGTTTTTTTTAATGCGTGTCATTGTATGTTGTATTTTTCATGGTAATTTTTTTCGCCGCTCTTGTTTAGTATTATTGATATTTTTTCAGATTTAAACAAAATATTTTGATTTTTTTCTTTCTGTCATTTTTGCGTCGACTTTTCGGTCTCATACATTTGAGTAAACATCAATCAACTGCACTTATACATCCAAAAATGATTGTATTAACCTCATTTTACTAAATTTATTTTCTATTTTTTATTTTATTCTAATTTCACCACCGTTTCGTGATATTACATTACAAGATCAGAAGAAAATATAATACAAAGCCTAAAACAGTCAATTTGACATCTAATGGTGGTAACAGAAACTATAAATCTACGGAAAGCCAGACGACACCACCCTATTAACACTTGACATATTGGACACGTGCATACATAACACAGATTTTCGTGTTCGTCTGTATGTAATTGTCAATATGTTATACCTGTACCAGATACATGTACATGATTTACTCACCTGGTTAAGGATACATGTATCTTTCATATATCAATTTAGCACATCTATCTATCAGTACTGGTATATAACGAAATGATTAAAGTACGTTGACATTTATTGCATAAATCGGTCAGTCTGTTTATATGGGTAAGCATTTTTATATCAAATATTTAATCCGTTTGTTATTGTAGGTTTAAACATTTTTAAAAGCTTAAAATACCATAAAAAAATTTCCATATGAACTTTTGTTATGTTATTGACGATTTGAAATATAAAAACATTCTTGATTTATATTTTTTTTTGAAAGAGAGAGAGATAGCATAGCAAAGATATCAGAAAGCTTCTTGTTGCGTCGAAGGGGTTGATATTACAATCTCAAGATGCTGACAAGAACATATTATACACAACTTTTGTTTCATAGTTTTACAACTTTTGTTTCATAGTTTTACAACTTTTTTTCATAGTTTTACTTGGTCTGATCCTTGATGTGAGTTTTTTTTATCAGTAATTATTTACAGCCTTATATTCATATGAATACAGAACAAAAAAGTACCGTAATTTTTTTTACGGGATATATATATACTTTAAAACGTATGTTTACTTAATTGCGGATTTGTACACCATATATTGAAGGCAGAAATATAATATTACGCGAAACACAATAATAAATAACATTTAACATAGATCTTTATTTGCAAATACATTTACTTCAAATAACATCAAGTATATCCTTACAATTCCATAATATACATGATATATGTAGTTTTGAGTAAACGACCCTTCTTTGACTAATTAATAGAGCTGTATGTATATATAGTTCACAGCTCAGTATCGAATATAACATAAATATAATTCTTTTGTCGGGTTTCTTAATATCATCGTTTTGATATGTCTCTTGTTATTTTTCAATTCAATATGCTCTATAAGCAAAGGTCTGAGAAATGATCCTATAGTCTCATGATTATATAAGAGGGAGGATTTTGAAGAAGAAATAAAAATATCCTTCAAAAAAGTTAATTTAAGCAGAATGTATTAATTTTTCAATAGTTAGATGGATACCAAAGATCAATTCGGTCTTTCCGAAACTATTGAACGAGATTTTGCCGCTTTTTGTGACAATATGGAAAACCCAGAGATATCTGTACCTCTGACCGTTGGAAAATGAACTTAAATAAGGTGATCATGAACCACTGTGGCGATATCGTCATCAAAGATAAACTTGAATGTTGTAAGAGTGATTAATTACTGTTTAATCTTATCACATCTGTTTTATTCTTCGGTGTATACACAGACTTTTAGTAATCCCCGTGGTAAAATTGGCATAAAAACAATACGTATTTTCAAAATGTACTGAGGTACTTAATTATGCGTTTCTATTATTTTTTGGACCAAGGACATTGATCAAAGTGATAATTTTGGACTTAAAAACATGTTTGTTGAAATTGAATAGTATAAAACAATAAAAAAAAAGTTCGAGAAGCTATTTACTTGTTTATTTGAACTTTGTACCATATGCATACGTCACGATTGTGACGTAGAAAACATGTTTGTGTATTTAGTCATTGCGCAGTCGTGTACAAAAATCATAAAATAAAAGCTTTTAAGTAGTCATGATTTTGATCAAATTAAACAGTAGAGTTCCTTGGTTATATAGTTGTTAGTTTTGATATTTTTATGATACTTGTACTGAAAGACACTGCAATATTTGCAGTTTAAAACTGGATTTGGAATTTTGCCATTTTAATACAACGTCCAAGGTCAACATTCCTAATAAGGTAGAACTCCGCCTTACTACTTTTTGATTGGGTGACAAAATGTGATAATACTTGAATCAGACTATTGATCCCTTCATTCATAAAACTGCGAAGGAATACGTAACAGTGATATATTCTGAGGATTTATTCCAACTTTATAAAATACAATATATTATACAGTGATTTTAATTTGATTTAGATATATTGGAAAATATTTACAATTTTGGTGTTACTCCGATGGCTACAGTGGACTTAGATTTGACAGGTCAACAAGAATTTTTTGATGATCAGATCGTACCAGACCAAGACGACTGTTTCTTACCGCCAAGCGATATAGTCCCACCACCTCAATTTAATGTAAGTTAATGTCATATATATCTATTTGTGAATTTAATTATGTATTTATTTATTTATTTTTATTTTTTTAAATCACGCAAATTCAACAATCAGTTATCTCTATATTAATTGTTATATAGTTGTAAATATAAAATAAGCAACGCAGTAGGGAAATATAGATTGATACTTTGCTTACAGTGAACAGGCTAGTGACATGAATATGTGTTAATATTCAGCGACATTTTTCGCCTTTAGTTGGTAACTTTAAGTCGCAATTTCCTCTTATGATAACTGAACTATACAGTACACGTGACAAGTCACACCATTACATTGTAAACTTTATCATTAATAAACCATACAGATAAAATACCTTTCGTGAAATAAATTGCTCTAAGCAGTCATATGATAACGATATGAATACACATATTTGAAATACCAAGCAACGCTTGGTTAACCAAGAAAAGGATCAATAATAGTTATTCTGAAATATTACCTCGTATAATATGTTTAGTGTCATATTACTGTTTACAGCTTATTAACAAATTTATATATTTTACACATGACGTGAAGTACGCACCGAACTAATTTTCATTCACAATTTATTGTGACCTTACCATTCATAACTTGTTTTTACACTGGATTCATTCATAAATTCGTCGTGGTAGTCTTCGCGTAGGCGTACAAAATATGTATTGATTAACTTCAACCGAGAAACGAGTTTCATCAGATTTTATCTCGTAAGATAGCTGAAATCTATAATCTCACATTGGAAAAACCGTCTTTTAAACCATTACAAAATATATATTGCCTGAACAATATCACGTGGATTTTATTTCATATTGATTTTTAACGTATATTTGCGTACATGAATAAATGAACCAAAGATTTTTTAAACCCATGAATAAAGTATCAATCTATCATAGTATTTTTAAATCCTTTTAGGCGAAAGATCTGGACAACTTTTTTGCATCCTTAGACGGATATCCAGACAAGAAGCCTCGCCGGGAGAGCTCGTCACTTGTGGATGAGTTCTTTCAGGATGACAAGAACGCTCCCGAACTGCTCACCGCTAAACAACGCATGAACATGCTGTATGCAAACAGAGATACGTCTTACATGAAGACAAGTATTCTTCAAGGCAAATCTCATGAGAGACGGGAAAGTTCTTCATTAATCGACGAATACTTCGGCCAATCTCCACTCAAAAAGACCAAATTAAACAACGCACATGACGGTACTTTAGGTAGTAAACCAGAAGGTAGCTATTTTGACATGACTGCGACAGTGATGGGAGGAAACGGACTTATGTCTTTTCCGAGTCTATCTGGACAGTGTTTACAGGAACAATCTAAGAAAGTTGTTGATTCCCTATGGGAGGATATAAGAGACAGTATTGACATTGAAAATTATTCCGAATCTGACAGTGGCAGCGAGTGCGATTTACAACGCGTTAAAATTGAACAGCCAGACCCATCGTACAAGTCTTCATGTCAGTTTGAAAACGCAAGAAGTTCAAGCTATGAAAATTTGACTGTTAAGCCAGAACCAGTATCTTCAAGTTGTGCAACTGACAGGTCAATGAATAGCCCTGTAAATTCTAGACCAAACAGTCTTCAAGTTTCTCGTCAGCAAAACATTGTGATGACTTCGCCCGGATCTGGCGTTGTTCAGTATGTTTCACAAGCTGGTTTAAATAAAAGTTTGACATCATCTAAATCCTATACTCCAACTCAGACACCACCACACTGCGTTCCAGTATTTTTACCGCCAACTCCACCAAACTCGCAGCCAGGCAGTCCTAGTCAAGAACAGTCTCTCAGAAGAACACCACCACCGCCGTATCCAGGATTCGTTAGGCCACAGTCTCGAACACCCATGACATCAATGCCATTAGCATTTACTCCCATTCCACTACCAATATCAGCAAGAGACGAAGACAAGCCACGTAAATATCAACAGACACACCCTGGATGTTCTACTATCAAATACAACAGAAAAAACAATCCAGAGTTGGAGAAAAGAAGAATCCATTTCTGTGAATTCCCAGGTAAATTTTATTTACATGAAATTAAAAGTTTGAATGGAATTTTATTTACTAGAGGAGAAAAAAAGTCTTGTATCCATTTACTCGTATATCAATAAAGAAAACATCATACAACGATAGTCTATGTCAACAACACCTTGGTTTTTTTTTTATTTGTCTAACAGATCAATAACATACACACACACGGTGTTGGAAACCTTTATGTTTGTCTATCAAATTAAATAGTACATTTACAGGGGGAAAATTGCCCTCAGGCGTCAACCTCACCAGAAAATTATTGCTCTTGTTTAATATTCTGTAAAATCTTTTATATGATGAGTAAGGTAAGTGTTATAATTCAAAATATTGTAAATATTTCATTTCCGGATGACAAACAAATGTTTATGTGTAATTATTACTTTTTTCAGGATGTAGAAAAGCTTACACCAAGAGTTCTCATTTGAAAGCCCATCAAAGAATACATACAGGTAAATATACTTATGTTTTAGTGAATAAATGGATATATTTGTGTGTATATATATCATCACATGATCAAATCATTTTAAAAATCTTTAAGAAAAAAGTTCAATTGTATAATAAAGATGAAAATAATTTTTATTTTGACAGTACCTATTTAGTGCAATATACACGTGTTTAGTGTTCTTTAATATGAAGCTAATCTAGATTGATGACTACCTAAGTCTTACATGTACTTAACTAGAGTCTTATTATTTGTTATTTTATGTTTTCAGGAGAGAAGCCTTATACCTGCCATTTTCCAAGCTGTCAGTGGAGATTTGCTCGGTCAGACGAGTTAACTCGACACATACGAAAACATACGGGAGCCAAACCTTTCAAGTGTAAAGTCTGCGATAGATGTTTTGCTAGATCTGACCACTTGGCTCTCCATATGAAGAGACATGAACCAAAGAAGTGAACCCTCCCAGGTTGACTTTGTCGACATCTTTTTGGTGAAACTAGAGCGAATTAGTTTGCGACTCGCATCTTAACACTGCTCATACTCATTTGACAACAGACTTGTTTGAAAGCCGTCAGTTAGTCGAACTGCATGCTAATTTTGGTGCAAAGGTTGAGAAAGCGGAAAGGACTATTATTTTTAGTCGGACGTTTTACCGTGAAACGTCATTCCATGGCCAGTAAAATTTGAACAGCGAACGATTCTGGAGTGTGAACTCAATTGTTAGTTGTCCTGATAGGACGTTTAGTCAAGACATTTTTAAAGACTCGTTTCAAGTTAGGGTCTGTGTTAGAAAGTTGACTTGATTTAATATTTTATTTGTTGTTGATCTCATGTGATATTGTTATTGTTATTTTCAGCTGCTCTATAGTATTTCACTATTTAAATATGTAGTTGGGTTTTTTTTTTTTTGCAAGTCTGACATTTCGTCAATTTTGACTGCCTGCACTGGTGCCAAGTTGAAATAATGAAGATCATCACCATATCATGTTTACTTAAGAAATCCAAACAAACATTTTGACACAAACGATTTTTAATGTCAGACAATTCATGTCAATTCCATTTCATATCGCGCTTTCATATCATACGGGTCCTTTTGGACATGAGGTGATTTACATTACCAGTTCCGGTTTGAAAGCGAGTCCATTTGTGTGAATGTGAGCCCGGATTGAATGGGAAGTGAGAAGGTTGATGGAACAGAATGATAGTACTTTTTTGTTGTGATCTATCTTTTTATATAATGCTCAATCTATAAGGATAGATTTTATTTTCTATTTTTTGTACATGTTTATTATAAATGTGTTGCCGTAAAGTTAAAAAGCGGAAATAAATATAATATTGTGATTATTATTCATCTTTTATTTACTGCATACACATTAAAGAAAACCAATACAGAGATTAACAGATGTTAATGTTCGCTAAAGCGATCACATCGGATAGATATGCTATATTTTAAAATCTTTGAACGAACAGAAGAAGGTAGAATGATAATAAAACGGCTTCTTATACTGAATATTTAGAAAATAAGAGCTGGGATAAACCAATGAGATAGCCCCCCTAAAAAATGAACTTGAATGGACGTCTACATGTCCGACAATTGATAGAGTCATCTTGACATGTATTGCCTTTTCATCTGGCTATACACGAGTTTTGTAGTAAAAATATTGTGATGCATTGAGTCAATGAGACGACAACCATGAACATAAAAAGCCAAAATACATGAGTATATCTTCGTGAACGAGTCGACGTGATTTGCTCAACAATAGACTAACCTCAATGTGTAGTCAGTATGTAAACCTATAACTTAGATCACCTAATCTAGAAAAAAATTGTAAATAAAAAACAGAATATATGAAAATCAGCCGGCTTAAACCCAAATTGTCTAATTTGAAAAAATACTTAAGAAAATCACTGACGAGGTCAGTCCACATTAATATTCAGTATTTATCAACGACTGTCACCAGATATAAAGAAGAATGAATTAAAGCAAATTATATATACAGTATGCTTAGTTCCTCAACACTACGTGGGGCTAAGTCCTTGGACAAAGAGGTTTTATACGAAACGTATTAAAAAAATCTCCAATAATGGGCTTTAGACCTTTTCGAACATTACCCAAAAAAATATTTAGCTATATCAATACAACAATGCATCTTGCTAGTGTTCAATTCACAACAAAGAGGAAGAGCCAATTTTCCCTGAATTTCACACTATGACCACTTTCATCGAAAAAGCTCTTGAATCTTTACTAGAAATTACACAGTTTGACGCTCAGCTTCCTATGAGAGGTACATGTAGCAATAAATATATTTCTGAATTTTAATCAAATTGTAGATCTCTTCACGACGAATCAAAACTGCAGTTCAGTTAGATTTTTGCAAATTTTTAAGATTTCTGAAAAAAATTAATTTTGAATGAAATTCTTATCCAAAGATCAAAATTTAGTAGGAAGTAAAGCTATGCATTCGCGCTGTCAGATACAAATTAGTTAATTTGGTCATGAACAAGTATTACTAAAATATACGTCCTTGATTTCGTTTGATTTTAATTTAATGGATATATGGAAATTTGTCGCAAATCATTTAAATACAGACCCTGAATATTCAAATTCTTTCAAACTCCATCAGGTTTCATCAATTTTCGCATTATGGCATCGCGAGTGAAACGAATTAAGGGGTATTAGAGGCAGTAAACTGGATTGTGGCGATTGTCACAGGCCCACTGGATATCATTGACTTAATCTTATTACAACAAATATTATTTTTGCCATCTGTGTTGAAATCTAAGAATAAAATCATAGTGTTGACGTTAACTTCATTTTGATGTATGTACGTGCTATAATTTATCAATATACCAATGGTTTATTTATTCGTATATATATAATAAGCAAAGGACATTAACATCAGATTCCAGTTTTGAATACACGATGGCCAGTCTAACTGCGCATACATTTTACTGTTCAGCTTTCTGTTCTAACAAAGCACGACTTAATGTCTAAAAATATACAGTGTTATAAAAGCCAAATAACGTTTTTTTTCTTCTTTTCAAACAGTGGTTATCGATAAGATCACATTGTTTATTTAAATAGGTAAAGGTACTTAAAAAATTTACCAATACCTTTTGAAAGATCAAGTTTAAGCAAATACAATACAAAACAAACAGAGACATCGTGTCGCCAATAATTAATGATAAGATTTTCTTATACATTTGTTGTATATATAACTTTAGAAATTGTAACGAGTTAAGTTTCCCTTCCAACTGATAGACATTTGTTTCAACTTTTGGTCAAAGAAAACGCAACCATATATAATTTATTCACAGAATTGTACAGTATTAATTAATTGCTTCAAAGAGATGATATACTACTATAAAAAGACTTTTGATAGGAGAGCAGTGAACATTTGCTACATTGAAGAGGTTTTAGTTTTTTTTCAATACTGTTTATATATATAAATAAATAAAGTTTTAAAAAATGGAAAAATAAAAAAAGATGTAAAAAGCAAACTTGATGAAAGACTCATGCCTATATATACTGTTAGGTTGATTTAAATATATATATATATATATTATGTGCTAACTGTATAAGTAATAACGTGGAAACAAAAATGGGAAAAATTTTCTTTGTTGTCTTGCAGACGAAAGTTAAAGAAATAGAGCTGGTATTTATTTTATCAGATCACATGATCTTAAGATTAACGAAGGTAAACTAATTTTTACACTTGGGGAAAACCAGGTATGTCACTGACCGAGAAATATTTCCATTCACAAAAATCTACGTAAACCCTAAAGCGGAACTACAAAGTTATTCGACGTGAAGATTTGATTTAAAACAATGGTTGTAAATGACAGCATCGATTATGCTGGCATGAACTTCAATTAAATAAACACTGCCACCCCGGCAAATTTTAAGATTCTTAAACACTGCGTGAAAGACAACTGGGGTATACAAATAAAGATGAGGGGGGACACGAGGTGCTCATTTCCCAAATCCCGTTTTTTGCATTTTTACTTCCCACTTTTATCACTTCACCCCCCCCCCCCCCCCCCCCAACCGCCTAATAAGTATATCCCATATCCCGATATCCCCTATATCCCACATCCCAAGAGCGTGTCATCCCCCACTTAACTCTCCTCATACTGTAGCCCTGGCTATGTCCCGTGTTGGCTGGTCGGTCGTTTTGCTTTTGGGACTTATAAATACTTAGTCTCGTTTAATCTGTGGTTCATTTCACTACAAATCTTGCGAGAAAAATTATACAAATAAATAATGAGGAATTTAGTATATGAAATCATATGTCCGTTATATATAAGTATTTGGATGTAAAACAATTAAAATCTGTCTTAAAATGGTTACAATATAATTTTAAGAGGTTTTAGTGTTTCTTTTGACACAGGACTTTTCACTCGGCATGATATAACAGCGATGATCAACCATATATTATTATCTCTCTGTACAAGCACCGAATGCACTGCGTATCGCATTACAGTATTACGAAATATAATTATTTTGACTCAGAAAAAACAACGCTTGTTGCAGAGAAATCCATCAGTCGTTGTTCCCGCCCACACACGTATCGTATCATGTTATTCTGACAAAGTATACCTAACTATTGAACAAACAAATACTTCAACATGATATGGTTGTAATATGGCCGAAATCTTGTGAAATCTTTTATTAATAAATCTTAAACGACCTTCGATTTGTTCAGTAGGAGGCGTAAACTCCATTTCCGTTTCGTGGGAATTTGTGAATTCATTCATAAAATTTTACTATGATTTACTACACAAGTGCGATCAAAATACTTTAAATGCATATTTACAATGTAAATATGCCATTCTTGAATTGTTTTCTCTTCCCGTCCCATTTCTTTGATTGAAAGAAATCAGTTTTGGTAAACCGTGTTTGTTCAAAAATACTTCCGAAACTGGAAATTCCTACATTATTGAGCATCTGGTTCAAACTTCCGCCTGTACTTTTGTTTGCCACGATTTAAAGTACTTCACCGAAACCTACAGTACATTTTATTCTGACAAATTTTTCAGTCGCTCATAGTTACCCCAACAGCAGTCCATCATGACATTCAGCTCATTCTGCATATAAACAGTGTGACAAGTCTGTCCAGCGAAGAGCAGACGAATGAAATAAATGATTTGATTTTTTTAAAATAAATTGATTATTAGCACTTAAAATCAATTATATTCAGTAGATGAAAAGCTGTTTGTCAGCTATTTTGTTTGAAGACAATATGAAATGCTATACATACCGCACCGGAATGACAAAATTTGAAACAAATCCAAAGAGAACACAATAAAGAAAAAAACAAATATGACGTATAACAACCAATGACAACAACTAAATTACAGGCTCAATGGGATCCGACTCCAGATATGCACATAAAGAATGAGGAGTGGACATGTTTGTGAGAGCCCAGTAACCCTTCCCCTAACCTGGAAAAGTGTTGAAACAGCACAACATAAGAACAAACTGTAAAATATCAGTTAGAAAAGGATCGACTCGTGAGATCGACATAAAGCAAATAAGAAGAAAACGAACAAAAAGACAAAAATACAAAGTACTGATCTAAGAATAATCGCAGTCACTAAAAGCTAGTTTAAAACCAGTTTCTTCTAAAACAAAAATCATGTTTTCCCAGACTAAGATATCAATCTGTACACTTCAAATGGATTTAGTGTAAAGGTGTAAGAAACATTCTGAGAACAACATGACCTTATATATTTGTTGTTTCATATCTGAAATAATTGTTTATATTTCCAAAATTATTTTCTTGGTAATATTCCCAAAAATTAGATTTAAAAAATGGAGTTGTACATGTACATACATGCAGAAGACAATATATGTTATTTAAGTTCTAAACTTATAACTACTGTGTACTGTTGACTACAAATCTATGGTTTGATACCATGGAATACAAATAAGGTAAGTACATATTTCGTTATAATTGCCCACAGTTATAAAACATGATAATTATGAAATACCTGTAATTATTTCTACATGGTGGCCATAATTAAATCATTTTGTGGTAAAAAATCCATATCTGTGGATAAGAAAGTCATATAAAAAGACCAATCTTGTCAGTAGAGTAATTATTTGATCATTAATGTCATTTGCCTGTCATCAATACTAACAGGAGGACCCATTAACTAACGTAACCGTCCAAAACAACTGAAAACAGACAAGACTCCATGTCAAATGGTGTACGTTTGATTTATAGGTCGGGGTTTCTTGTCCGGGTCAAGTTGTACATTTAAAAGATGTGTATAACAGACATGACGAAATCATCAGACGATATGAAATTCTAAGAATTTTATTTCGAATTTGTAAT